AGTCGGAGTGGGCCGGGCTGCGCCTCCGGGCGGCCGTGGAGCGGCGGCCGGACCTGAGGTCGTGGCTTCACCCACCCTGGCTCTGTCTGCGCCTGGTTAGGCGAGAGTTAATGAGATCACAGCTGAAAGCGTCTTCAAGCTCCAGACACGTGCACAGAGGTCCGTTCTGTCCCGGGTGCTTCGAGCTGGGAGCTTACAGCCTAGTAACCTGGATTCTCACAGACCCCGAATTTAGTTAGAGTCCAGAGCTCGCCACCCTGTTTCCTGCAACAGGGTCTTTGGCAGTCTCTCATCGCCGGTCTTCCTTAACCCCCTCCACCCCGTCAGCCCCACCACGTTGCAGTGTGGAAGGAGCCCTGGAAGGACTCCGAGCCCTTCAGCACCGCCCGGGGCAGGCCCCTCGGATGCCGCCTGTTCGTTTTAACCTTAGCTGTTAGGGTTGGAGAGTGCGGGAGCGGGGCACAGGTGTTCCGGCTGCATTATAATTGTTTATAGGTGTAATCTTAGTGAACTACCACTTCATTTTTTTTCGTTGTAGTAAAATACCTCGTAACAAGTTTTATCTTAACCATCTTTAAGTGTACAGTTCAGTGGCGTTAGTACATTCACATTGTGCAACTGTCACTGCCATCCATCTCCATAACGTATCTTCCCAAAGTCTGTACTCATTCAACACCCACTCCCCGCGGCTTCTAGCAACCACCATTCTATTCTGTCTCTGAGGACTACTCAAGGTACTTTATATAAATGTAATCATACAGTGTTTGTCATTTTGTGATTGGCTTATTTGACTAACCATCCTCAAGTTTCATCCATACTGTAGCATGTATCGGAATTTCCTTTTTAAAGCTAAGTAATATTCTGTTGTATGTATGTATGTGTATATACACACCACGTTTTGTGTATCCATTTATCCGTGGGTGGACACCTATGGCTTCCACCTTTTGGTTATTGTGAATATGGGTATGCACATTATGTTTGAGTCCCTGCTTTCAAATTTTTTGAGTATATACCCAACACTGGAATTGCTGGGTCAAAGATAATTCTGTTTTTTAATTTTTGAGCAATCGCCATATTGTTTTCCATAGAGGTTGTATGATAGTACAGTCTTACTAACTGCACAAGCATTCCAGTTTCTTCACATCCTCACCAAGACTTGTCTTTTCTGTTTCCCTGCTGGTCCCTCCTAATGGGTATGAGGTAGTATCTTGTAGTTCTGGTTTTCATTTCCCTAATAAATAGTGATGTTCATCATCTTTTTATGTGCTTAGTGGCTATTTGTATAGCTTCTTTGGAGAAATGTCCATTTGAGTCCTTTGCCCATTTTTATATAAAATAATTTGGGTTTTTTGTTGTTGTTTTAGTTGTAGGGGTTCTTTATTCTGGATATTAACCCCTTTTCAGATACATGATTTGCATATATTTTCTCCTATTCCATGGGTTACCTTTTCACTCTGTTGATTGCATCCTTTGTACAGAACTTTTAATTTTAATTTACTTTAAAAAAAAAGATAATTCAAGGGAAGTTTTTCAAGTTAATCCAAAATTGAGTTGCAATTGAAAATATGTCTGAACAGCCTTGGCTTTTTCAATGGATCCGTTCATTCTAAAAAATCTATTTTTAGTTCATCTTATTTGAAGACTGTCAATTGTGAACAGATATTTGTTTAATTTTGGTTGCTAGAGTCTAGTGAAAGGGAAACATATAAATAAATGATTTCGATACTTATGCCTTGGGTCTTTGAGGGTTTCTGGCCCATGGGTGGGTGTTAGGGGTGGGGACTGGGAGACAGGAGCGTCTTTCTGGAGGATGGAGTGTCTGATCTGCATCTTGAAGAATAAAGTATTGGCAGTTAACAAAGAGGGCAAGGTATTTTGGACTTTCGAACACCATGAGCAAAGGCATGCGGGCCTACAGCAGCAGGAGTGTCTGGGAAATGAGGTGGAGTTCCATGGAAATCAGACCATAGAAGACTTTTCTTCAATGGCAGGAAACTATCCAATAATAAGTATGAGAATCATGTGATTAGATTTGTATTTTAAGTAAAGCACTTGGGCAGATAGTAGTTGGTCCTCATCTTGTGGATTGCATATTTGTGAGTTTGCCTGTTTGCTAAGATAAATTCATAACTCCAAAATCAATGTTGGTGGTGCTTTCATAGTCATTCCCACATAGGCAGAGTAGAGAAAAAAATTTAGCTGCCCTACGTGCACATTCATAGCTGAGTTTGAATAACACACCACTGCTTTTTGTTTCAGCTCTCTTACAGTAAACAAATGTCCTTTTTGCTCTCTATTTGGTGCCATGTTTTTCACTTTTATGTAATTTTTGTTGTTGGTTTTGCTGTTTAAAGTGGTTTCCAAGTATAGTGCTGAAGTGGCCCTAAACACAAGAAGGCTGTGATGTGCCTTAGAGAGACAATACATGTATTGGAGAAGTTTCTTTCAGGTATGAGCTGCAGTGCTGTTTGCTGTGAGTTCTGTGTTAAATCAGCCATCCAGACAAAGAAGAAAATTCATCAATCTGTATGTGAGGCCACTTCAGAAAGTGCCAAGGTAACATTTATGGTGGTGTGACGAAGCAATGGAAAAGCAGCTAAATTTGTGGGTTTATGACCCATAGAGAAAGTGTAGTGGACAGCACTGTGTAAAGTTGAAAGCCAAAGAAATCTATAGTTCAGTTACCAAGGGTCAGGGAAATGTTAAACCCTTCTGGGCTAGTGCTGGCTGGCATTCTCAGAGGTGGTACAGTGTGAAAAAATGTTAGACTTGCCGATGAAGCAGGTTCTGCAGATCAGGAGGCTGTAGAACTTTGAAAATACCTGCTAAGAGTTATACAGGAAAAGTGTTATTGGAAGAGCAGATCTTCAACACTGAGGCTGGTGTGTTTTACAAGGATCTTGGTAACCAAACCTATATGACACCGATAGCATTTTGGTTAACAAAAATATGACAAGACGTTTATAGGAACCTAATCTCATATTTCTTTTAAGAGCAGTAGTTCAGTATTCTATAGTTCAGCATTCATGGCAACTTTACAAACATAACTACTGCAAATAATGAGAATTGACACTGTATGGAGTGGGTTATAGAGAGGTGCGACCAACTGTTGATGTAGTCCAAGTGAGACAAGGAGGGATGGAAAAGGGGATGATTTGATAAGTTGTGAGGAAGAATAACATATAAATGTTGACACCAAAGGTATAAATAGGAAAAATTGCAATGCAGTAAATTGTTCCTTAGGATATACAAAGCTTCACATATTACATTGAAGGCCTCCAAATTTAAGACCAGAGTAAAAAACTTACTTAATGAGAGATCTGCAATTTACTACATTCCTCCTTGTTCCATAATTCCATAGCATATTGATCTTCCACTAAAGTGATTATCCTAACCTATGTGTGAAGGTTTATTTGTCTAACTCCCACAGTAGAGTATGAACTTTTGGAGAAAGGAAGATGGTATCTTTTATCTTGTATATCAAGCAACAAAAGGATGCGTCCCATGTTGCTGTGTGAAAATCTGTAGCTTATATTTGTTTACATTATTTATAGAGACTTTATGTATTTGTAATCCTTGGGACTCCAGTAAACTCTGAATTATTATAATGCGCTTGTTTTATTATCCTATTCTATATAATAAAAGCCTAATATGCTGAGTGTCCAGTCGTCTGTTCAACCAATCAAAGTGTAATATGCTAATGATATGCTAAGGCCGCTCAACTACTTGCTATGACATGCACTTGACCACCAGGGGGCAGATAGTTGACCAGTTGCTGTGACATGCACTGACCACCAGGGGGAAGACGCTACAACTGGTAGGTTAGCTTGCTGCTGGGGTCCGGCCGATCAGGACTGAGCAAGATGGGCCCGACACCCCCTGGAGCCGTCCCGCGGTCCCTCCCTAGCTGGCCAACCTCCCACGTCCCTCCCAGGCCCCGATTGTGCACTGGTGGGGTCCCTCGGCCTCGCCTGCGCCCTCTCGCAATCTGGGACCCCTTGGGGAATGTCAGAGAGCCAGTTTCAGCCTGATCCCGCTCAATGCAGGAGCTGCCCCCTGGTGGTCAGTGTGCTCCCACAGGGGGAGCGCTGCTCAGCCAGAAGCCCGGCTCACGGCTGGCAAGCGCAGTGGCGGTGGTGGGAGCCTCTCCCGCCTCCACGGCAGTGCTAAGGATATCTGACTGCTGGCTTAGGCCCGTTCCCTGTGGGGAGCGGACCTAAACCTTCAGTTGGACACCCCCCGAGGGCTCCCGGATTGCAAGAGAGCTCAGGCCAGGCTGAGGGACCCCCACCCCAAGGGCACGAATTTCATGCACCAGGCCTCTAGTAATGTTATAACAAAACTAGTTAGTGGCTTAATTTCTACAGTAATGTGTGTTTCAGAATCTTCTCCCTCTGCACGCCCCGCCCCCCCAAATCTTTACTATCTTAAATTCGTGGTTTTAGAAGTGATCACTATCTACGTCCAAACAATTGAATCATCTCGCTAAAGGTTAAGTAATGACTTCTTAGTCTCATAGAAAAATACATGTTAATTCATTTATGCACTCTGGACATGTAAATAATTTGGTCTCGAAGATGCTTGCTGCAGGAGAGAGAAGATTTTAGTAAGTGATATGATGGAAATATATGCACTGTGCTTTGGGAACATACAATAGGGACATTCCTTGAGACCTAAAGGAAGCTAGATAGAATTAATGAAAATTTTAAAGAAGTTCGATGTTTGAGCAGTTTTGGGGAATGGTTCCAGGTGGTGACAATAGTATGAACTGTGGCAAGGATGCATGAGGCAGCATGGTGTGTTTGGAAAACTGCAGGTAGCTCAGAATTGCTGACAGGTGAGGAGATGAAGCTGGAGCCAGACCATGGAGGCCCTTATGTGGCTTCTAAGGAGCTTGGAATATTGTCTCTTACCTGGACACTGGTGGTTATTTGAGATGTGATTAAGTTCAATTGTCAAATAAGGTCCATAAATTTCTGCATAGCATAGTCCTCACTTGGGCATTCACAATTCATGTCTGTATGCTATAGACTCCCAGAAGATTGAAGGTAAAGGAATCTGCCTAACTTGATTTTCTCTGTTTCCCAAACTTAACTAAGTAGAATTTAAAAAAAAAATTAATTCCTAGTATCTTCCCAGAGAACTGTTTTAGGTAATGAACCATTGAATGATTTAAGCAAAAGTAGTTCTTTTATTTATATATTTTTACTTAGCATACTTCCCACAATGTATCCCAATAAAACTCATTAAAATAGAGACTTGAATTTACCCTGTTGCATATCTGCAAAAATAAGAAACTTGAGGAACAGATGATACCAATGAGTGAATATGAATGGCACATGTTCTTATTTGGAGATTTAACTCCTCCAGGAATTTTGAGGTTTACTCCTTAAACTATGTAGTTGTTACTAAGTAGAATGAATAGAATGACTCACCCAAAACAGTTAAAATTCAGAACTTTTTTCTTTAATTATGTCTTTTTCAGACCCATTAAAAAGTTCAGAGACTTATAATGAACACTGACCCACCATCTTCATAAGTAAACATTAAAAGACCACTGTGTGGGATGAATAGAGCACAGAGGTTTTTTTAGAGCATGAAACTATTCTATATACCACAATGTTGAGTACATGTCATTATACATTTTTCAACACCAAGAGTGAATCCTAATGTAAACTATTTACTTTGAGTGATAATAATGTGTCAATGTAGGTTAATTGATTGTAACAAATGTACCACTGTGGTGCAGGTATGTTGATAGAAGGGGGATTGTGGGTATGTGGGGATGAGAGGTATAATGGAACTCTGTGATTTCTGCTTAATTTTGCTACGAGCCCAAAACTGCTATTAAAAAAATTAAGTTTATTGATTAAATTTTTAAAAAGGGGGACCACTGTGTAGCTTGCTCAAATTGCATTCTTCTCCCTCTAAAGGTAACCACTGCCTTGAATTTGGTATTTATTCTTCTCATACATTTCTTTGTAGTTTTATTTCTTCTGTATGTATCCCAAAAGGAAGTTTCATTTTGCATATTTTTAAAGTTTATATAAATAGCTTTATCCTACTGACCTTTTTTGTGTGCAACATTATATTTGTAGAATTTATCCATGTTCATAAATGTAACTCTAGTGTATTCATCCATTTTCTGATGTATAGTATTTTGTCATGAATATGTTTAGGTTGTTTCCTTTTTTCTTTTGACATCACACTCATTTATAAGAGTCTCTTTCATTTGGGTAAGCGTTTTTCTAGAGCACATAGGTAGGCATGAAATTGCTAGGTATACATGTCTTCAGCTTTATTAGATACTGCCAAATTGCTCTCAAAAGTACTTGTATCAATTTACTGGCTGTGGATAAGATTTCCTATTAATACATTGTCTAAACTAGATTTTAACCTTCATATATTTATGGGAAATAGGAAGAGTAAAAACAAGCTAGAGATTGTGCCACTTAACATGGATTAACCTTGGATTTTATTTTGTCTTTATAGATCTTGGAGAAATTCATTCAAGGCTGTTAGATCACAGACCAGTTATTCAGGGTGAAACCCGTTATTTTGTGAAAGAATTTGAAGTGAGTATTTAAAATTTATTTTGTAAAAATACTGCCCTAATTATTAGTGATTTTCATATATGGAAGGGACATTCTCTAGTTTTAAAATTTCTGATTTCTGTTCATGGTTCATAAAACCTACAAAGTTTTAATAGTAATAGTAAAAACTCTTTAAGAGTTATTACTATTAATATAAGGAGCACAAGACTAGGCGGTAGGTGACTTAGGTTCAAGTTCTGTGACCTACTCTGGCATATTTAATGTCTGTTGATCTCAGTTTTTTTCATCTATGCAGTGAGATATAGTGAAAAAAAGGTTTTAAAGACTGATTGGTCTAGATTTTCCAGGCCCATTTTTTATATTTTTTTCTCAGTTGGGGCATCAGCACCCACCCAAAGCACTCAAGTTAAAACATGAGAATTATCCTTAGCTATTCTCTTACCTTTAGGGCCTGTATTTAGTGAACACATCTTCTGGATGCTACCTCATAAATTTCTAACCCTTCTGACTTGTGTGCCTGCTTTATCAACCCAGTAAAATCCAATCTTTACCCTCTTGCCAGAGTGCTCTGACATAACCCTTTTATAATGTTTGTCATCTATAGGATAAAGTCAAGCATCATTCTGTGACCTGTTCCCTACTTTTCTGGCTTAACCATCTGCCACCCCACCTTGTGTGCTATGTTCCAGCAATACTAATACACCAACCCGCCACCCTATTTCATATTACTACTAGAGTCCCGGTGCACAAAATTCATGCAGGGGAGGGGGCGAGTCCCTCAGCCCAGTCTGTGCCCTCTCCAATCTGGGACCTCTCCCCTCTCACAATTCAGGACTGCTGGCTCCCAACAACTTGCCTGCCTGCCTGCCTGCCTGATTGCCCCTAACCGCTTCTGCCTGCCAGCCTGATCACCCCCTAACCACTCCCCTGCCAGCCTGATCGATGCCTAACTGCTCTCCTGCTGGCCTGATTGCCTCTAACTGCCCTCCCCTGCAAGCCTGGTTCCCCCCAACTGCCCTCCCCTGCAGGCCTGGTTCCCCCCAACTGCCCTCCCCTGCAGGCCTGGTCGCTCCCAACTACCCTCCCCTGCAGGCTGGTTCCCCCCACCTGCCCTCCCCTGCAGGCCTAGTTCTCCCAAACTGCCCTCCCCTGCAGGCCTGGTTCCCCCCAATTGCCCTCCCCTGCAGGCCTGGTCCTTCCCAACTGCCCTCCCCTACCAGCCATCTTGTGTGTTGGAGTGATGGTCAATTTGCATATTACCTCTTTATTAGATAGGATTGGTTTGTACATATATAATTGGTTCGTTGTGCATTAAATTAACATCTCAAGCTACTTTTGGATAGATGGTAAATGGTGTTACACAAACAATTTTGTGATTCTGGGTAAGTTGAGGTTTATTTTCAAATGAGACTCCAACCAAGCAGGAAGTCTAAACCTGCCAAAGGATAAAACCTTTTCATAAACCATTTATCACTACAAAAAGCCTGTGGTACAGAGGAATAACAATTGAGAGACAGCGCTGCAGCATTAGATACCATTTCTGAGTTCAATAGACTCTGTTACTCAAAATCTGCATATATCTACCTCAAAGAGTTGTTGTGAAGATTAAAGGGGTGTGTATGTGCAAGCACACACATGTCTGTATGTGTGTATTTTGGAATACTGTCTGATATCTAGGCATAGCTGTTAGCTATCTTCATCATTATTGTTGTAGGATAACAATTATGTGGAAAACTCAGAAAATTACCCAGAGATTATTACCTTATCATCCTATCTAATAAAGAGGTAATATGCAACTTGACCATCACTCCAACACAAGATCGCCACCCCCATGTGGTCAAAGATGGCCGCCTCAAGATGGCCAGCAGGGGAGGGCAGTTGGGGGCGATCAGGCCAGCAGGGGAGGGTAGTTAGGGGCAATCAGGCTGGCAGGGGAGTGGTTAGGGGGTGATCAGGCTGGTAGGCAGAAGCGGTTAGGGGCAATCAGGCCTGGATTGTGAGAGGGATCTCAGATTGGAGAGGGTGCAGGCTGGGCTGAGGGACACCCCGCTCCCCCATGCACGAATTTCGTTCAAAGGGCCTCTAGTACCATATAAAAATTATTACCAATTCTTTAGTGAGATTAAATAAGAATAAAGTAGTGAGAGTAAAGCATGGCTGTGTTCTCTGCTCAGTCTCTCAAAGCTGTGATCAAGGTGTTGGCCAGACTTTGTTCTTATTTGGGGTTCTGGGTTCTCTTCCTAATTCATATGATTGTGGCAGGACTCACTTCTCTGCTATGGTGGAATGAGGTTTCCCTGCTTGCTATCAGCCAGGAGCCCCTCTGAGCTACTAGAAGCCACTCACATTCCTTGCCACTTGGCCCCTTCCATCTTCAAAGCTGTCAATGGAATCTTCATCACATGGAATCCCTGTCGTGCTTGCCAAGAGGAGTCCAGTCCCTATTAAAGACTCACCTGATTTAAGTCAGGCCCATTGAGGATAACTTCCCTTTTTTAAAGTCAACTGATTGGGACCTAAAATATATCTGCAGAGTATCTTCAAGAGCAGCACCTAGACTAGGGTTTGAGTGCATAACTGAGAGAAGGTGTGTGTACACTAGGGGTGGGGTCTCAGGGGCCATCTTAGAATTCTGCCTACCATAAACTCTCATAAATACCTGATAGTTTTCTTGTTATCTACTTGCTTATTACTTGTCTGCCTTCATTAGAGTATAGACACGATGAGAATAAGGACCTATTGTTTTTATTTTCTGTTGTATTCAGAATGCCTAAAATAATGCCTGCTGCATTGTAGATGCTGAATATGATTCAAAAGAACAAGTAACAGAACTTGGACTAAAACTTGGGTTTTCGACATTCAGTGATATCATAAATCATCTTTTTCATATGTCATCCTTTTTTGCCAGTATGGTTAAATACTAAATAGTTATTGAAAAAATTTTAGATATACCTTTAAAGATATACTTTATATGTATATTTTTAATATTTTTTGTTGATTTTAGAGAGAGGAAGGGAGAGAGAAAGAGAGAAATATCTATTTGTTGTTCCACTTATTTATGCATTCATTGGTTGCTTCTTGTATGTGCCCTAACTGGTGATCAAACCTGAAACCTTAGTGTATCGGTAACTGACTGAACTATCCAGCCAGAGAGATCTACTTTATACTAAAAGAAGCATAGAGTTTTGGCATAATGGTGAATTCTCTAATTCAGTTCCCTCACTGGCTGAATTATCCCTAGAATACAGGTGTCATATTTTAAATAATGTAGATGTTTTCTATGAAACGAGTCTTGAATGGAGACGAAAGAAGTGTTACATTTATGCTGCTGAGTATGCTGTATTCAAGAGCTCACTTCCTGTTGAAGTCAATACCTCTTTTAACTAGGATGGAACATAGTTGCCAGGAGCATGTCTAAAAGGAGAGGAATTATAGTCGGTCCTCTGCATCCGTGGGTTCTGCATCTGCACATTGAAAATATTCAGGAAAAAAGTTAAGTTGTTGGTGTGTATTATATAGTTAGGCCTATGATGGTTGTGTCTGTATTGAATATGTACAGACTTTTTTTCTTGGATTTTGGTATGCAGGGGTTCCTGGAACCAGTTCTTCACTATACCAAGGAACAGCTGTATCTACACTCTGCATTATTAAGCCCTCTAAGATCTTTTTGGAGAAGAAGCTGTGTTAAAGAGTAGAAAAAACATGGGCCTTGGAGCTTAACATAGCTAAGATGTGGAAACAGCCCAAGTGCTCATCAGTAGATGAGTAGATAAAAAAGCTGTGGTACATGTACACCATAGAATACTTTGTAGCTATTAAAAAGATGGATCTCTTACACTTTGAAACAGCATAGAGAGACCTGGAGAATATTATGCTAAGCAAGATAATCCAGTCAGAGAAAGAAAGTATCACATGATCTCTCATTCATGTGGAATTTAATGAACAAAACAAACCGATCAACAAAATAGATCCAGAGACATAGAAGCATAGAACAGACTGATGAATCTCAGAGGGAAGGTGGGTAGGGAGAGATTAACCAAAGAACTTATATGTATAGTAGAGGCCCGGTGCATGAAATTCATGCACTGGGTGGTGGTGGTGGGGGTCTCCCTCAGTCCGGCCTTTGTCCCTCTCACAGTCCCAAAGGGTCCTTAGCGCTGCCACAGAGGCAGGAGAGGCTCCTGCCACTGACACTGCGCTCGCCAGCCATGAGCCTGGCTTCTGGCTGAGTGGCACTCCCCCCGTGGGAGCACACTGACCACCAGGGGGCAGCTCCTGCATTGAGCATCTGCCCCCTAGTGGTCAGTGCATGTCATAGCGGCCTGTTGTTCTGCCATTCAGTCGATTTGCATATTAGTCTTTTATTATATAGGATATGCATAACCCATGGACATAGACAATAGTGTGGTTAAGTCTGGGGAGGAGGGTGTAGATGTGAGGTGGAGGGATCAATGGGGAAAGAAAAGGGGACATATGTAATACTTCAACAATAAAGATAATTTTTTTTTTTAAAAAGAGTAGAAAAAACATGGGCTTTGGAGCGTGACATATCTGAGTCCAAGTCCTGGCACTCTTCTTACTAGTTATGATTAGTTGCTTTACTGGGGCTTAGTTTCCTTATTTAAAAAATGGGAACAATAATGTATACTGCAGAAGTTTTGTGAGGATTAAATGGAACATCATTTTTAAAAATCCCTGGTATATAGGTATTAGACAAATGTTGGTAACTTACTAAGAGAAAATGGTAGCAAGTACAATCAAATAAACATGTATTAATTCAAAATTTATAATAATTTTTATGAATTTGGGTTCAATGTTTGATGTCTTAGGGAAAATAGGGATTTGCTAAGCAAGTGACAAAAGCATTACCTGAGGAATTTGTTTACTAAAAAATAAAATTTCACCCTGGGTATGATAGATACAAGGCTATAGAAATGTTTTAAAGCCCCCATTTTGTGTAAGACAGAATGTCAGAAACTAATACTATATTGGAAAATAAGACAGACACAGACCCACCCTTC